TCTAATTTTCACCCTGCACAGCCTCATGGTAGCCCTGTACTCCTCCTGAGTGTCCTACCTCTTCTTCCACAGACCGTCAACTCTGCTCTTTGCTCTGAGCTCCAGCCAGAGCTCTCTGTTCAGCCAGGCTGTTCTTCTATCCCGCTGGCTCATTTTCCGACACACGTGGACGGCCTGTTCCTGCGCCTTTAAGAGTTCCTTCTTGAAGAGTGTCCAGCCTCTCCGGACTCCTTTGCCATTCAGAACTGCCTCCCAGGGGATTCTGCCAACCAAATGCTCAGGAGGAGGGAGCTACAGCCTCCACATACATTCCCCCTCCACCAGCTCCCCAAATTCTTTGCCAGCAATTCTCATTTTAGCTTCAAGGGTGTGACGAGAGGTTGCGACACGTTGTGGTGCCGTTGGCACTTAGCCCAGTGCCTAGGTGGGCACCCATCGGTGCTGGCACCAGCACGGGGCGGGGATTGCCAGAGATGGATGCGGTTCTTACCGCACCTCCACAGCTGCTTTGGGCTCTGAAGGATTTTGTTTTCCCACTGCAGCAGCACCGGAGCCACAGCCTGGGACTCCCACCCATCCCTGCCATTTGAGTCACCCGGGATTACGACTTAGCAACTTTTCAAAGATTTTTAGCAAGTATTTATCCCTCCAGAGATGATTACAGCTTAAAAAACAAAGCTTCCCCTTTTGGAAGATGAAAGTGCAGGACTTGAAGAGCCAGCACAAGCAGCTGCCTGGGGCAAAATCCTGGCTGCTGCTGTAAAATTAGGGTGCTGGCACCCATGGAAGGTGGTGGGGACACGGGAGCCATCCAGGAATAACCTGGGAGGGGCCGATTACCAGTTGGATCACAGTGACCCGTGCGCCAGAGCAAAGATGGTCACAACGATAAAGCGTCCGCAGGCACCGGCTTCCTCCCGAGCAGCTCCTATCTGATGGAAACCACCCGTTTCCCCCGCGCCGGCTCGGCAAAGCTCCCAACCCCGGCACAGGCAAGGTCACGCATGAAGGTCCTTCGTGTTTTATCCTGGTTTTGTGCTTTTTGTTTGTTTAAACTTCCTCAATTGGGAGGTGATTGCAGGGGGAGAGAGGCAGTCGGTGAGACCTCAAAGCTTCGCCACTGCATTCCCCAGGTGCTGGAGGGCATTTGGTTGGTGTTGGTGATGCAGTGGCGAGCAGAGGGGTCAATCAGGCCCTGTAATTTTGTTAGGAAAGGGGCTGCAATGCCAGCCTATAGGAGTGGGTCACTCTAGGGGGAGAGCAGCTGGGAAAAAGCAGGGATGGGGCTTGGAAAGGCAGTGGGGAGTGAGGAGGGGGATAGAGGCAGCTGGGAGTGGGGGCACCCAAAGAGCAGCCTCAAAATGGCCAAAGGGGAAGTGTTGCTTCCTCTGCCCACAGCCCCACGTGTCCTGGGGGAGCAGGAAGTGCCCGGCCTCCCCCCGTGGGAATGGCACCACAGTCCTGTTCCCAGTGGGGCTATGATGGGGGGTGGCAGGGATGGGGATGGCAGGGGGGACCAAGCGAACCCCCTCGGCCAACCCCAGCCCTAGAGCTGGGGCAGAGCATCCCCATGGGGCGACCACTCGGCAGCACCCTCCAATGCTGTGTGAAAACCCCCTGCCCTTCAGCACAGCACCTCAGATGTGTTGCAGCCAGCACCGAATGACCAGGGAGCCCCTTGGCTGAGCCGCAGCGCTCCCAACCTTGCGAAGACAAGGATGCAGGAGTGGGAGTGATGGCCACACACCTCAAGGTCAACCCTGCAGCATCTCCGCAGACCATTCCCACCCCCAGTACCATCAAAGCAAGTGGCTGCATCCCTTTGGATGATCATGGAAGGGGACGTGATGGACGTCTTGAAAGCCAAGAATCTGGGTGGGAAAGCGCCTGGCGAAGGGCAGGGACAGGAGGAATGGGGTGAGTGAGAGCAACCAGCACTGAGCTGGGGCCCGGTGTGCTGGAGGAAGGGAGGCTGGAGGGGACCGTGTGCTCAGCAATAGGAAATGCTTTATTAGCTGGGAGTGGTGGAGAGGGGCCAGGCAGGAAGAGGCAGTAATAAGAAACATTTTTCTATTTTTTTTACAACTTCTCCCACATCCAGACTGCAGGACGCTCGTCGAGCGGCTGCGTTTGGACACAGGGGACTGCCGCACCGAGCCCAGCCACGGCCGGGAACTGAGACGTTTCTTTCCCTGACGCCACGGTGCCAGGATGGGTGCTGGGAAGGAAGCGGCCCCATGAAGCTCCTCCGAGCCAGGGCGTGCGACACCGAGCAGAGCGGCCCTGGCTGAGCTGCGTGTGCCACATCTGAGCTCAGCACCGTGACCAGGAGAGCCTCACCAGGACCCGGTGCTGCCGTGGGCACCAACGGCTGCTGTAGGTGAGTGGGGAAGTGCTACGGGGTCCGGGGGCGCACCTAGCTCAGCCTTTCCCTCCTGATTTCCCCTGGTGCAGCCAAAATCAGGATTAGGCCCCATTTCCTTCACTGTTCGGTGCCGAGGCTGACATCAGGGTTAGCGGAGGCTGGAAGCGGGAGTGTAAATTCGGATCTACATCACGCAGCAGGAGCAGGATCTGTCCCCAGGTCCTTGCTAAAGAGCTGAAATAATCCACGGCTGCAACCAAAAGCCCGGAGCTGGCATGGGAAATGGGGAATTTGGGTCTATTTTGACTTGGGAAATGGGGAATTTGGGTCTATTTCAAAAAGGCATGAGGAAAAATAAGGGGAAGTTGACAATTCCGTGAGTTGCAGGCTCTGGGGCACCGACAGCACCAACGCCACCTCGATGCATCCCAAATCCCAGGTCCTTCGCAGGAGGGTGGGTAAGAAAGACCCAAACGGCCGCTCCAGAGGCTCCATTTTCAGAGCAAAGCATCCAAACCCTACGGCAAGGCTGGGGCAGGATCGCCCCACGCCGTGCAGGTCCCTGCACTGAGCCTTGCATCCATCCCAGCTTCACTGGACGATGCAAATGGCTTCAGTGCTGTCACCAACTTGCAGCTACAGGGAGGAAGGAGGAAAAACTCTGGCCATCACCTGAAACCAGGGTGAAGGCTTGGAAGTCCATGGCAAAGCTCTTGCCGACTCTGACGTAGTGTCAATCCAACCCTCTGCACCGGCAGCTGTCTCACCTTGCTGCCCCTCAGCTGGCGCCGGCACCAGGGTCCCCGCTGTGTCTGGCTCCCTGCGAAAAGGCGACACGGGGGAAACTGACTCAGGAGCCACATCCTGCAGCGAAACACCCTTCCCGGGAGCAGCAGAAACTGCAGGGGAGGACGGAAGCCCCGGGATTGCAAAGCTCAGCCAAGCCACCCCAGTGAGAGCCAGGGAACCTCCGGCTGTCCAGTGTGTCCCCAAAGATCAGCCCCACCTTCCCGAGGGCTGGGGATTGCTCTGGACCCCATCGGCTTAATTAATGAAACCCCATCCAAAAGTTTTAATTGGATTTTTTTTTTCTTTCTTCTGCTGCAAATTCCGAGGGATGGAAGGAGGTGACATGGCACCGGGACAGCCATCACCCCCAGCCAGGCTGGGGAGGATGCTCCGGGTGCCAGGAGGGTGCAGGAGTCGCAGCTTCAGCGCAAGGATGGAGGGACAAAGGCTGGGAACAGGGACAGGGCTGGTTTGACACCTCACCTGGGATGTTTTTCCTGTGGGATGCCAGGGATGGCACTGGGTTAAGGTTTGCCCTCAGTTGATGCCTGCATCAAAGTCCCTGTGGCATTGTTGCAGCTATGGCAAAGTTTTGGGTGAGGCCCCAGCTGCTTCGTGTTTTGTGGCAAATCGAACAACTTGGGATTTTATAGAAGAGCTCCCAAGGAGGGGATTCCACCCCGCTCGGGGGTCTCGGACCCCCCTTTAAAGGATACATTTTGTAGGGATTGCACGGAGAAGCAGTCCTGACAAGAGCATCCAGCTCCATGGGGGGTTATATTTTTAGATTAAAGCTGATCCCGGGGCAGCCGAGGGATCAACCCCAGCATCGCTCCTACCCAGGGCACAAGACCCCGCTCCTGCTCTCCCTGGTTGCTGTTTCCTCCCCACAAGCGACAACCAAGTGAGCTATTCTGGGGAGGAAAAGCTCGATTTTACGTGGCAGCCGGAGCCCGCCTGGGTCAGCCACGTCCGTGTGTGCTCTCAAGGGCCGGGTTTGCGTGACTTAGCTTCCCCATCAAGGACAGAATCTAAACAATCTTGATTCCTGTCCCAGCTGCCCTGGGCTGGGCTCCTTCAATTGCAGGAAATGGCGATTTTGGCGTGTTTATGTCAGGAATGACAAAAAATGAACCCAGGAGGGGTTTGGGAGCCCCAGCCAAGCTCTCAGCCATAAGAAAGGGGCAAGGGGTGTGGGGGCAGTGCCAGCTCCGCTGTGTTTGGTTTGGCAGAAACGTTTCTTTTTAGAAGGAGATTTTTTTTTTAAAAAAAAGGAGTAAAAATAGCAAATCTTCCCCCAAAAGCACAGCTGGGGAATTTTTGGCTGCCTACAGCTTGTGTCACCGATAAGCTCAGAACAAAATCCCAAGGCCCGGACTCGCTCCAGTGCCGGTGGAGGGACACATTGAACTCCCTCCCATGCCGCAAGTCTTGCCAAACCTGGGGTCTCCGGCGATGCCATGACATCGCCATGCTCACCGTGGCTGCCAAGCCCATGGGGCCTGCCGCCGGCTGCATTTTCATGGCGTGGGAGCCACGGGAATGGTGGGACATGGTGGAATATGAATCACCAGGATCAAGGTGAGATGATGGGATGGCACGACCATGGCCAGGTCCCTGTGCTAGAGCCCCTCCGAGCGCTGCTTCCCCCCAGCTTGGGTGGTTCCAGGGCTCTGCCCTCAGGAAGGGCTGCACCCAGGATGTTCAGAGCCCAGCTCCATTGCGAAGCAGCACATCCTCGCCCTGCTCCAATGGCCCCCTTCCTCCCCACCAGCCACCCCAGGGGGTACGGGGGGGCCATGGGGGTGCAGGGGCTGCCTCTGACTCCTCTGCTCTTGGCAGGACGATGCGGTGCGGAGCCTGCGGCCGGGCGGTACTGGCACTGGTGACCCTGTCCCTCAGCTTTGCGGCCGGTGAGTACCGAACTGGAGGAGTTAAAATAAGCCGTCGGCTCTTTGGGAACGTCAGCACGTGGCTCTGCTCAAAATAAACCACCTCTCAGGGACTCACACTGGGGACTGCTCCCCTCCAGGATGGTGACCTGCCTCCCAGAGAGGATCTCGGCTTAATTAATTACAGTTCATCAAGCGCTTTGACGTCACTGGAGGGGAGATGGGGAGAAAGCTCACGTGCCTTAAAATGTGTTTGTTTTTTCTCTAGGGGTAATGGTGGGGAGTGGGGCTGAGCTGCTCAGGATCCCAGGGGAGCACTGGTGGCACCTGGGGGCAGATCCAGGTCCCACTGGGTCCCTGTTCTGCCACCAGTCTTTGGGGGATGACAGGTACAGGAGGGGGGCTGGCCACGTCTGTCTGTCCCCTTGCTGCTGTCTGTCTGGCTGCCCCAGCACTGAACCCGCTGATTCCAGGAGGGATATTTTCTGCGTCAAAGGGCAGAGCTAAATCGGGAGGTCGGGAGTGCGGCCACTCCTTGTGCTGCTCTGGCGCTCCAGGAAGCGCCTTCAGGGCGGCCAGGGAAAGCTCCAGGAAAGACCCCGGTATTCGGCACCCAGGTCCCAAAATGTGGCATCCCCACGGCACCCACTAGGGTGAAACCAGCTGGGTTCAGGGCTTTTGGTCCCATCTTGGCTCCTGTGGGCAGTCCCAGAGCTGGGCACTCCCACAGGCAGGATGGGACCCTCTGTGCTGTCAACCAGTGCACCCCAGTTAATCCCAGCTGGTGGGGCTGGATGCACGGCCCCTCCGCTGCTTCCCTGGAGACATGGGAACAGGTAACCTCCAATTCTGGGAGTGGCACTTGGGTCCCAGCAGGGAGCAAAGGATTTTACACAAGGTCCCAGGATGGGCTTCCCTGTACTGAGCAGCCACCTTCCCCAGCCCAGACTGTTGGTGGTCCTGGGCTCCAGGAATTTGCTTCAAGAACATTTAGCACAGATGTCAGCGTCCCCAAAGCCACCGGTGGGCAGCGGGGTGGCCTCACAGCACAACGCACCCTCCCTTCATGCCCGTAGAGGATTTCCTCTGTGTTTGCGACGTCCCCCATTGCGGCCAGCCCACCTGCACGGGCAAGGTGTGCTTTGTCAGCAAGAGGAAGGAGGAGGACGGGACCATCATCCAGCACCGGGGCTGCTTCTCTCAGAACATCCTGGAGAACTGCCACACACCCGTGACGGAGCAGTACGGCATGACGTGCTGCCAGTCCAGCATGTGCAACACCGAGCTGGAGATCTTCCTGCAAGGTACGGGGGCACGGACGCCTTGGAGGAGCTAGGGGCAGGAGGGCAGAGCTGCGGCTGCAGATGTGGTGGGAGCTCCAGATCATCTCCACCCTCCCTCAGCACCTCAAAGGTCAACCCTTTCCCTGGTGGGACAGGGCCAGTGAGATGTCCTCAGGTGTTCCTTCTTGGGCTGTGCCTGCAAAGCAGCCATCCATGGGGTTTAACTCCAATGCAGAGTCACCCTCCCTAGGTCCAAGCCCTTCCCAGTCCAAACCCAGGCACCAAGATCCCAACCCTTCCCACTCCAAGCCCAAGCACCAAGACCTCCACCCTCCCAGGTCCACCTTCATGCTCCCATCCATGGTTTCCCCCACCCAGGAGAAAAGGCCCTGGGAAAGGCGCTTTCCCTGCCCAACCTCCTCTTGATGATCTTCGTCCCACTGCTCGCCCTCCTCGTCCTTGCGGCGCTCACGGCTCTCTTCTGCTGGAAGGTGGCCCAGCACCGCCACAAGAAAAGTGACTTTGGAGACATGGACCTCATGCTGAAGGCATCCATAGTGGGAGACAGCACTCTGGAGGTGGGTGAGCTCCGGAGGGGACCTCAGATGCCCCCAGAAGGAGGGATGTGCCGGGTGTGGGGCACGTCGGGCTGACCCCACTGCCATCCCAGGACCTGCTGAATGATGACTGCACCACGGGGAGCGGCTCGGGGCTGCCCTTCCTCGTCCAGCGAACGGTGGCTCGGCAAATCACCCTTGTGGAGTGCGTGGGTAAGGAGAGCAGCCAGGCATGGGGGGAGGCTGCCCCGGACCCCCAGCTGGTGTTTAAGCAGGTGCCAAACCCCCTTCCCCCAACAGCCAGTGACGGCACTGTGACACCAGACCTAGGATGGGGGTATTGGTCCTGACCTTCTCAGCCAAAAGCCCATAGAGACCCTAAGTTCTCCCCCATATGGAAGAGGCAGAGAGCACTGGGTGGGTGGATGGGAGGCAGTTGGCCACGGTCAATGGACCCCGCACCACCCCATTGCTGTTCCACACCGGGGGCTGGGTTCATCAACACTGGGTGCGGGGAGTGGGTCAGGGGCCATAAGGGCTACATGACATGATGCCACGGTGATGGCAGGCAAAGGACGCTATGGTGAGGTGTGGCGCGGCATGTGGCATGGGGAGAGCGTGGCCGTGAAGATCTTCTCTTCCCGGGATGAGCAGTCATGGCTCCGCGAGACAGAGATCTACAACACCGTCCTCCTCCGGCATGACAACATCCTGGGTGAGCGGTGGGGAGCAAGGAGGGCCGGGAGGTGGCTGCACGGCGGCTTCACAGTCCCAGCTCTTCTCCTCATCCAGGCTTCATTGCCTCCGACATGACATCAAGGAACTCCAGCACCCAGCTCTGGCTCATCACCCACTACCATGAGAACGGCTCACTCTATGAATACCTGCAGAGGATGGCCCTGGATGTGGAGACCTGCCTGGGCTTGGCCTCCTCCATCATCTGTGGCCTTGTCCACCTCCACGTGGAGATCTTCGGTACTCAGGGCAAGCCCGCTATTGCCCACCGCGACCTGAAGAGCAGGAACATCTTGGTGAAAAGCAACCGGCAGTGCTGCATCGCAGACCTGGGTAAGATGGGGGACAGGATGCACCGCCTAGGGATGCAGTGCTCGAGGGATATGGTACCCCAGGGATGGTAGTACCCCAGGGATGCAATACCCAGGGACGTGGTGCCCCAGGGATGTGGTACCCCAGGGATGAAGCACACAGGGACGTGGTACCCAAGGGATGCGGTGGCCCAGGGATGTGGTACCCCAGGTATGTGGTGCCCCAGGGCAGTGACATCCTGGGGATGCAGCACCAGCATGGCACTGACCAAGGCCGGCATCCCTGCAGGACTGGCCGTCATGCACTCTCAGGGCAGCGACTACCTGGACATTGGCAACAACCCCCGGGTGGGCACCAAGCGCTACATGGCCCCAGAGGTGCTGAGCGAGCAGATTCGCACTGACTGTTTTGAGTCCTACAAGAAGACAGACATCTGGGCGTACGGGCTGGTGCTCTGGGAGATCACCCGGCGCACGGTGGTGAACGGTGAGTGGCTCCCGGCCGGTCGGCCGCCACGCTCCCAATGAGGCTCCTTGCCTGCTTCCTCCTTCCCTTCTTTTTCCTTGTTTTTTTTTTTCTTTCCCTTCGCCCAGAAGATTAGCTGTAAATTATAAACACTGTAATCTAGTGTCAGCACCCGGCTCCCTGATTAAAGGGCCCATTAGACTCAATCAGTGCTTTGTTTGTTCAGTGCTGATTAGAAAACAAGTGGCGTGGAGCGCTGCCTGGAAGCCGGCCATGGCCTGGACCTCCGACCAGCAGGGCTCAGCCTGGGGGAATAGGGATGGGGACAGGGTCCCCCACGCTGTGGAGAAGTCTCCTCAGGGCTGCCCTGCACTGCTCACTGTCCAGCAAAGTCCATTAGAGGCATTAATTAATGGTTGGGTACTGGCGGGTGAGGCAGGAGGTCCCCCCAAGGTGCAGTCTGGCCAAGATAATCTCATTTACCACGCGGGGCTCCTTCAGATTAAACATTTACTTCGAATTACCAAAGCCATGTGCAGGGGGTGACTTTCAGCCGGGTGGTTTTAACCCTTTCAGGCACCTGTGCCCTCCAGGATGGGCTGCATGGTCCCTGCACAGTCCCAGGGCATTGGGGATGGGGGCTTTAGGGGACCCCGACATTCAGGGGCCACCCCCCAGGGTGCAGGGAGCTTGGGGTGGCCCAGAGAGGTTAAACCCCCCCCCGACACTCAGACATATGGAGGCTCTAAGCGGAGATTAATTGGGCCAGCTGGCAGGCTTATGGGGGGCTGCCAGCGGGAAGTAAGGGGCTGCGGAGTGGCGTCAGTGCTGGGAGATGGTGGTGGTACTAGAGCCAGTGCTGGAGCCATGGCTGATGCTAGAGCTGGTGCTGATGGTCATGGTAGGGCTGGAGCTGGAGCTACCAGTGGTGCTGGAGCCGGTGCTGGAGCCAGCCCCATCCACCCTGGTGAGGTCCCATGGTGCAGCCGGTGCCAGAGCCATGCACCACCACGCAGCATCACCACTGGCGTGGTGGAGCAAATCCCAGCGGCAGTTCCTGGGAACCCGTGCACCCCCCAAGGCGGGCTGCAGGTTGGTGGTTGATGCTAGAGCTGGCGCTCTTGGTCATGGTAGGGATGTGCAGGGAGGGAGCTGAACCACATGCCTCCCACTGCCATCCTCACGTTCCCCCTCCCGCAGGCATCGTGGAGGAGTACCGGCCGCCTTTCTTCGATGCCGTCCCCAGCGACCCCAGCTTCGAGGACATGAAGAAGGTGGTGTGCGTGGACCAGCAGACCCCTGTGGTCCCCAACCGACTCTTCTCCGACTCAGTGAGTCCTGAGGCAGGCCACCCCACTCCCACCCTAAGCCAGACCTTTGCTTCCCATGAAATTCCTCTGTTTTCCCCTCTTTTTGTGCCTGCCCCCAGGTTTTGTCAACACTGGCAAGGGTGATGAAGGAGTGCTGGTACCAGAGCCCCTCAGCACGTCTCACCGCCCTGCGCATCAAAAAGACACTGAAGAAGCTGAACAGTTCCCTGGAAAAGCCCAAGCTGGAGCAGTGAGCGCTGGAGCCACTTGCCACCTGCACCAAGGACGGCGGCGAAGCCAACACCGCGACAGCACCCAGTCATGGAGGGAGTTTTGCTTGGACCCCTCCTCAGAGCCTTTTTAATTTGCAAGGAGGGAAAAAACGGGGGGGGG